CTTTTCATTTTCAGGTGAATAAATCTGTGACACAACTGATGACAGTTCACTAAGGTCTTTCATTTTACATTTGCAGTGTATACACTCAACAAGTGAATAACATGTATATTCCAAAGGATGATTTCACTTGGACTTTCAAAACCTGAGCACTATATATCTGGCTTGATCAGACATATAGAAAATATGACCATTTCCTCAACTCGTATGCATTTTACATTGTTAGCTCAAGGCTGTGGTCTAAGAAAAATTTTGATGAGCCCAAAGGTTCCTTACCATAAAATACTGGGTGCCCAGCGCTCAAGCTTATACGGCAAAAGTGAGTTTTTCTAGTCACCCAAAGTCAAAAGTTAGTCGCCTGTGGCACTCAGGTGCTTCTAGAGCACACCACTGTAGCTATATATAAACTAGTACATGTACTCCTTGCAACTGATTGTATTAGGCTCATTTATGAAAGTTTCATCCTTACCTGTAAAAGATACTTTCTGTGTTTCCTGGCATTGAAAACCTGTTTCTGTAGTTTGAGAAGTTGCTGGAAGGAAAATTATTCAATGTGTTTTTCAGATTATAATGTACATGTATTCAGGTGAGATGCAGTATGTTGGCCTAATGGCTTAACCATGTTAGATTGAGAAGTCCTGTATTAACTATTCCCTCTGAAGCTTGTGAATTTAAATGATCCCTGTTCACTTAACGAGCTAAACAAGGTGTGTTGTGGTTCACCAACCTCGATTCTGGTGTAAAATTAAACAAAAATTGAGTAAATCAAAGGATGAAAACCCTCTGGAATAAATAAATGCAAATGGACATCAATTATTACAGCCATTGGTCATAAATTAATAACCTACATGTACATCACATGTGCCATGCTATGAATTATATCAAATATGATAAATTTTATCATTCAATGCACTTTTTCTTCCTTCCATTGGACGAGAGCCCACCACCTGACCTGCATATAACTGCGTACAAATTTGTGATCTGCTGATGTGTAGAACTGTCATGTTTTTCAAGTGAAAAATAAAAGATCGCTTACCTGAGCTGTCAGAGAGTGATTTAAATATGAAAACAAACTTAGTGATCGCCTTCAGCTGTGGCAATTAATCTGCTCGGCACTGACAAATCACGACATTTTGCTCAACCTCGTTCAATAATTGATCATTATTTAGGTTAATATTAGGCGAATATTAAGTTAAAAGCTGGCATTTCAGCATCACCGTGACACCATTCTCAACTGAAGGCAAAGTGAATAAATAATGCAAAGATATGATTTCTATACATTCAAGAAAACTTAAACCATCCCTTAATGTGCAAATGGACTCGATTCGAGCAAAGGTATTCACTTGGAGAACTCATAATCCCTTGTTATTATGCTAATTTGTAGAGACTGAATAGAAATCAAATCTTTGCATTATTTATTCACTTTACCTTGAGAATGGTGTCACGATGACGCTGAAACGTCGGCTTTTAACGTTAATATTCACCTGCTTGTGTTTTAAGAAATCGATATTGATCAATATTATTAATGTTATTTAATAATTAAATGGTTGCAATGGGATCTGGATGAACATTTTATGGGATGGACAAAATAAATTTCAAGCATCAAGAAACTTACTAAGCTTGTTCATGATTTCCTGGACACGTCATGTATGGTACATAGGCAGCAATTGTCTGAATTTGATTCATGAAGTCATCACCTACCCGTGCATTATCCTGTTGGTATAAAAACAATAAAAAACGTTAACCCTCCTGTGTTACATTTATCCCTTACAAAACTTTGGAGTGTCAACTGTTTGTATGGGTCAAGAGACAAAGTTATGGCAAATACATTTTGACAAGCAGGTCAAACAAAATTTCATCTTTTTGGACAGAATTAATTATTTCTTAATCTACTTTTCTTAAGCAGCATTGCAGATTTAGTTATTTTCATTTTTTCCTTTCTTTGCTTGTTTCACACTTTGGATCAATTAATTTTTCCATCCTTTTTTAACTTGCTGGAATCCAATATGGCCAACTTAACAACATGTGACATTGCATATTACATATTTATAAAAAATTAATGATTTTGATATGTAAACAATAGACTCCATTTGGCACGGAAATATGCTCTGATATTTGTCCATGGACATTATCTGTTCTGAGAGGCAAACAGGCTTTGAGGAACAGATCATGTCCAAGGACAAATATTCAAGCATATTTTTGCACCAAATTGAGGCTATTGTGTTTATTATTCTTCAAATATTTTTCCTTTCCAAAATTGGGGAATATCACTTGGATATTCACAGTTTTTGCTGGGGAATATTCCGTCACATGACGCATTTAGACCAAGTGCCCGTGAACGAAAATATTTGATCGATTAGAAGTCTCATTATTCATTTAGAAAAACCCAGGGGGGGGGGGTCCATTCCCTCCCCACCTCCCCTGTAACATGGTGGGGGATGAGTTTGTGTTTTGTCCAAGGGTCAAACCTGTATTTGAACAGCAAAAGTGTAAAACACAGAATGATTATCATGTAAAACATATAAATTTGGAAAAGTTGAAAATTAAAATGTGTAGTTCCCGAGAATATTCATACCCTGACCACAGAGGGAATTTCACATAAGCCCCCACTCCTCCTCCTCCTCCTCCCCGGAATTTCCATATTTTGCATAAAAAAGTAACCCCTTCCCCCCACCCCTTAAGCATTTCCACTAGTATTTCGTACACCCCCCATACCCTCTGGAAAAAATAGTTTTGACAAGAAAGTGTGTTAAAGCTAAAGTAAACACTCCAAACACTTAGCCGTCTGCACTGCATGTCACTGTTGTTTTGATATTTTCAATCGATCATAACATGTTCACCCAAAGAAAACATACAGCAATTTATTTTAAAATGCTATAAAAGAAAATAAATAAAATGGTTACTTGTCAAATTACCTTCCTATATGACTAATTTCCGTTGAAGGACTGATAAGATGAGTGTGGATGAAATTGACACCATGCTTTTAACATGAACATGATTGCTAACTTACTTGAGATGAAACCCAATTCTACAGTAATATTATATACAAATGGACAGAGATGAACATGAGATGAACAAGAGTAAGAAATTCTCAAGTTTGTGAAATCGTTTTATCGTTTCTACCTTTATAAAGAAACTAATTTTCACGAATGAAATCGACTGCCTCTC